AACATTGTTTTAATGTATGAAATTTCTCAAACTTTCTTAAGTTCGTCATTACAAAGTTCACAAAACCCTTACTATTTAGTACGAATAAGTCCGATTTTGGACGAGTTTTCATTTGGTATAAAAGTCATTATATATTCTTCCGTAGAATAATATTGTTTCCTGTCCCTTATCTTTGGGTATCAGTCAAGTTGGGCACCCCCATATATATAATCTTATTTGTTTTTTTCGTTACTATTTCCTGATGATGACAATGGAAAATTGTCGAAAGCTGGAAAGAAAATAATTTGCAAAGAAAATTGAAATATGATTTTCATCGCAGTGTTATACTCATTTATTACTTATGAACCTATGAGACAAAGCCTTGGGGACAAAAGGCATAGAAATTAATAAAAAGGAAAGTTCGTCGTAACGTACACCATAACTATTATCTCATAAACCCATTATGGAAAATATAAATATTGAGGGTGTCTGGGTGTGAAAGAAAAGCTATAGTTTCATACATCTTCACATTTACGCACAGCTATGCAACACGAAGCGTTCTGTGTTCATCCTGCCATATTTTTGGATGATTTAAAATCGTTTCAGGCTGATTCTGACAACTTGCTGAGTGATTCGAAGCAATCGCTGTATTTCTGAAACATTTTTATAGAAGCTGTACCTTTCTAATTTAGGCACGTCATGACGTATTACTGTATGTCAAAAAGAGTTCGCTTTGGCTGTTAGGCAAGGCTGGATAGTTCAAATGGTACTATCCATAGAATTATATATTACTTGCTGATATGAAGTACTAGCCGCATTCTCAAGCATTGCTGTTTTGTGATGGGAAAGTTTACACCCTCACTAATTGTCATCTATTAACGGTTAGAATCAACTTATGTCGCTCTTTTGTATTACTCGATGACTCGAATTGTTTTGCTCTCATCACTACACATCGTTTGATAGTCCCATACTTCTTCGTTATAACCCTCTTCTATTGACACATCGGCGCCTATACTCACAGTTTGTCAACAAGTCTGCCTTGTTTTTATGCCGTATCCATTGACATTATCAGTGAAGTTATGCTGCTAGTTTGATAATACTGTTCTGAATAACAGAATGGGTTGGCAAGAATCAAAGCAAAAGGAAGCAAAGTAGTCATGTAAAACATAGACAGCATCATAGAATAGAGACAATTAAAATTACTGAACAAGTGTAGGAAGGATACAAAAAAAGTAAGGGCACTAGATCGCTTATGGGCTATCAGTTTTCATTCGATCTCATTGGTGTATTCAAGAAATGGATCATAGTAGGGCTGAACTGTAGTTTTCTTGTCGAATCTCTTGATTTCATCGGAAGATGCCTTTCGAAGCATAATGTTGTATTTATCTTGTTTAACGTAGTAACGCGCAGCTAATTAATATCATTAAATAGACTTTTTCGAAAAACGTAACTTTAAGAGCAATCAAAGCAAAGCCTTTCTTCATATCAGATAGGTTAGGAATTTCCAAGGAATTTTGAAAAGATTTCAAAATTCATCATTCTCATATTTAATAGCAGCAAACTCTTTGAAACTTTGGCAGATTATTGTACATGTTTACTACTACATAGTTGCAAAGTTTGAGACCTATAGCTTCTACTATGACTGAGAACCGGTAGTAGCCATCCAGAAGCAAAAATCTAATATAAAAATGGTAGAAGAAATATTATTTCTAGAAATCATTTTAATCTATAAGCGTCAGAACAGTAAATTTTTGTTGATGTACATGCACATAACAGAGATATTTAAAGGTCAACATTAGTTCATTACAAGTGAATCAAGACAGAATACACATCAACCATTTGCTAAAGATAAAAAGAGTTTCTCTTTTTCGTGTTATATTTAAAACAGTTGCATTCATTATGAAAAGCAAAACATATTACAAAATTTATTAATCTAAATGAAAATTAACCTTGCTATACGGCAATAAATGCTTTGATCCTTAAAATTTGAAGCATACTGAAGAGAGACAAGTAAACGACTTGTCCAGATCAGATGTGCCTCATACAACAACAACAATGAAATATATGCGAACTGTAAAAGAGATTATTCGATTAAAAATAATGCATCCCCATTAGAAATATCACAGCAAAAGTTAAAAACAGCAACGTTATACAACATCAAAAAGTTCAATATTGAGAATGAAAAACTTATTAAAATTGAAGTAGTGTAAACGATTCAAAACTTGTCTAGCAATCAAAAACTTCAACATGTTAATATTGCAAAATGTTTACGAAAGAAATATGGTATTAAGAAACGAAACAAATTTTATGACTAGATTCTTGTTTTGATTGCTGATTTTAGTGATAGATTCCCATTATTTTCTCAATGTAATTATTATAATGAAGATGCCTGTACTGAATCAACGTTTTATATTCTATATAAATTAAAAAGCGAATCAAATGAAAAATTTGGAAAATGTTATGTTGTCGGATGGTACTTCTTACCAGGGATTGTTTCCTAAGAAGTCTCCAATGTTTATCGATGAAGGGGTGACACTAATTAGTTCAGAAAATGGCAGACGTCATTAAAACATTAGTTTACTAGCGACAGATGTCAAATTTATCAGACCTATTTTAGCAGGCAAGCAGCTAAAGAACTAGATCATTTACAACCGTTATTTTTCAAGGCGATCGAGATTATAGACAAAGGCGTAGGTGACTTTCGATGCTGTGAAACATACTTTTATCAATAGAATTGACGCAACAGATTCTGTTTCAAAACTACACGATGTTTGACCAACAGAAAGCGTTTGAAGTGTATTAAAAGAGAAATTTTGAGGGCGAAAATACAGGCACATTGAGCGAGTGAAAAATGACATTTAAAAGGAATGGAACATATTCAGTGCATCTTTATGTTGATGAATGATGGGCACAATACCAGCATGATTAAACTTAGTAATCGATCAAGGTGATAATCAAATGCAGAAAACCTATTGCTTAATTTGTGATTTTTCATTTTTAAAATTTCTATTGTTTTTAAAATGATAACCAAGATGATGTGGAAACTTGAGAAAATAGTATATGGTTATTTTGCTACCAGGTTTCATTCATAGCAAAAGCTATAGATCTCAAACTTTGCATTTATATACTATTAAGCATCGATACTAACCAGCCAAAGTTTCAAAGACTTTGCTTCTGATAAATGTAGGAACGATGAATTTTAAAATCGTTTGAAACTTCAGGTACATCCTTTATATTACTAAATTACCGTTTGCCAAATTTTTCGCTCCTATCCGTTTGATAAAATATTTTTGCTAGCTTTTATCTAGGTACAAACCACATCCATCTTCAGTGTTTTAGCTCTATGGAAAATCGCATACCTTCTATAGATGGATTTTCTTGTACATATCCATGTGTGGTTGTTGATTTATAAGAATTTTTTTGTTGTTCAGAATAATTGACTGGTATTTGTATAGGTTGATGAAGTTTTTGTATCGTCGGTGGTACAATACCATGTTGAATACACATATATAATCCATTGATTTCGCCAATCATGTAATACGATGGTGGTGGTCTTTGCGTACGGTAAAGAAAAATTATGTCATTAATCGATTTCATTCCAGCTTGACGAGCAACCATTTTAACAGCTATTGCACATTTTATTGTGCCTTTGCCGTTCGTATCAACGGTGTTGGATAATAATACATAATTAGGTGGACTAAAATGCAGTAAAAGTATGAATGTTGGATTGAAGCTGCTTTCAATCATATACTAACAGCGCTTCATTCTCATCAATCAATATTATATTTTCTAACACCAAAGCAGAATTTTTGACTAACGGAAAGACGCGTGTTATACACAAAAAACGACTTCTTCGTTCAAGTAATGAATTGGGCATTAGGTCAGCATCTTGTATTGGATCGTCATATGCTAAATACACTCAACATAAAGACAATAACGTTACTTCTATCGAATTACTTTTTTGCATACAAATGTAGCCGGTGGGAACATTTTTAGGATTTGTTATTATGCAAATTCCCGTTATAGGTAAATTCTGATGATTCACTGAAGAACCCGATGCCACTTTTGGATTATTGCTACTATCAGTGATGTCCATATTATGATTAATGAAAAGCGTCGAAGTAGCTGTAATAAAAAAATAAAATTAAAAAAATCAAGTATAGCCAATGTTCCTAATTAGAACAGCTTTTTGGAACCTGGGAGAAACTTCAGTTTTAAATAGAGTTTTTCTAAACTTTTTTCAATTATTTTTACATAATTGAGAGCGGCATGATCTGCTACATCGAATAATGTAAAAATCACCGATTTATTTTAAAAAATAGATCAGTAATTAGCGGTAGTTTGAAGAGTAGTGCATCTGTTCTAAATAGGAGCACTTTTCCTGATTAGAACAGCAAGCAAAAAAGGTCCCTAATAGAACAGCAATCGAAGAACAAGCAAAAAGTTTCAAAATTTCAAAAATGCTCGATTTCATTATCTGAACTTCAAAATTTTCATTTTCTTCTGGAACAAAAAATGTTCCTCGTTCAATGAGGAATATTCATCTTCAGGTTGACCTCTATATTATTTGTAATAACTGAGATATTGATAGATCTTCCAACACCTTCAATGTTCTATATAAGTACACGGTACTACGGATTAGGGCTGTACCGCTCACGCTCATATGAGTAGGGCTGTGCCGCTCACGCTCATGTACGCTCACGCTCATATGAGCGCTCATGAGCGTGAGCGGTACATCCGTAGTACGGATGTACCAAGACTGAAGATTCCCTAACGAACATCGTATTTTTTCTCTATGAAAACCTTCCGGGACTCTACAAGATTTTTATCTAGAATTGCTCAGCTTAACTTAATTCATATGTGTATACAACTGGCCGGATCAATTACGAAAATAAAAAGTTGAGTCTCGGTCAATCTTGGTTGGAATATTGAGAAAAAGCAAAATTTTGACCGAGACTAATCGAGACTCGACCTTTTATTTTCGTAATCGATCTGCCCAGTTGTATGCACATATAAACTAAGTCAAGCTGAGCAATTCTAGATAAAAATCTCGTAGAGTCTCGGAGGTTTTTCATAGAGAAAACTTACGATGTTCGTTAAGAAATCTTCAGCCTCGGTATATCCATCCACTGTACCTTATTGAAACAGCAAGCAAGAAAGTGTTCCTAATTAGAACAGCTAATAAAAATACATAGAAAAGCAGCTAAAATCAGAAAATAAACATATCTTGCTACTCGAATTTCGGAATTTCATCCTAGTTCCGCTATAAAAAATGTTCACTTTATCACAAGCTTTGAGCTGACAGCGGTTCACAACACAACGAAACTATAGTTTTATTTTTAATAAGAATGTGAAACTGCTATTTACTGGCGTATATATTAAGACGATATTACTTCGAATTTTCATATTATCTATGCTCGCGGGAAACCAAATGCAATACCCATTAGTATTTGGTTATCAAAATAGCTACATAAAGCGTTAAAACATTACTCCAGCTATGTAACGGAAGTAAGCCATTGATTGGATTTTTTTCACAACGATTCGCCTAACCAAGCGTGCGAACTATGAGTTGTTCTGTATCCGATAGAGCTGAACGTGCTCCATCAAATAGTATATTTACATTGTATGCATAGATATTCAGCTACTCAATATTAATGATAATATTATTTTTTAACATAGCGAAAAATAAAAACATAAAATATTCCGCAAAAATATTGAATCCACAAGGGTGTGGGTGTGGGTGGGTATGGGCGGGGGTTGTTTGGGTGTGACTGTGGCAGGGGAGTGGGAGTGTCGGTGGTTATGGCTGTGAGTGTGCGCTTGATTGAAGAGAAGATCGACACCGACGTCGACACTAGGGGTGGCACTTTATCTTTACTTTATCAAGTAAAGTAAAGTTGGGTTACTTTACTTTACTGAGTAAAGTAAAGTAACTTACTTTACTTTACCCGGTAAAGTAAAGTTAATCTACTTTACTTTAT